CATGCGGTGGTCGCCTAAGACCGACGGGGTCCAAATGTCCACCAACCCAATGGTTTTCTGTCAAAAGTGGATGGAAATACGGGCCCGTCAAAAATGCAACGGAACGCGGAAGATCCAAACGGGCGTTTGAAAAGGGAAGAGGAGGCCTTTACGGCAGGACTAAGATTAGGAAAGACCCAGTAGGCCCATATAGCAAAGCTAGGAAAATTGGGGCCCAAGTCTGCCTGTCTAACGTGGCAGCAGGTCAGGTGGAGCCGTGGAGAGCAAAGTTAGGGGCTCTCCGTCCACATCAGCAGAGAAGCGCAGGGCAGGGGCAATTGTAAACTGCTCTTGACTCAGGCTGGCTGCAGGCGGCCAAAGCCAAACCCCACCGGCACCCCGTGCTGATTTGATTTGCTCGGGGCCAGCGACGCAATGTGCTAGGCCATCAATCATGCAAATCATGCCCCCCCCGCGTACCTGTGTGTTTCTGAACGATCGCGAGTGGATCAGCCAACCAAACACACTCATCAGTCATCACTGCCCAATGCAAGATCTGGTGTGTTGGTTGGGTGGAGGCTAGGATAGGTGATGCTTTGCTTGCAAGCGCTGCATGCGATCGCAATTCCCGCGTGATTAGCTGACCCGGAACCACCTGAATAATCAATCGCCCAACGAACCATCCGCTCCTGCCGCATGACCCGCCCTCGGCGCTAAGCTAATCCGCCCGCCGAGCCAAGTCAAAAGAGCGACTCCGCCGCCTCGCCCATGCACGGCCGGTCCGGACGACTCGCGCCCGCCCGCCGAAACCGGGCACCCGCAGCGCACCGGCACCAGGTAAGATTGGATTCGCCGCGAGTTTTTCTCCACGCTCCGATCCTGCGCAGGCGGCCGTTGCAGCCAAACCAGAAACTACCGCTTCAAAGCCGCGTGGATTGCGCACAAGTAACCGGCGCGGGTCAGTCAAACCAACGCTCGCACGTCGCCGTTATTGCCGCCAGCTCGCCGCCAACGGCGCCCCTACACGTGCGGGGACGACGAGGGCCACGGCAGGCCTAATCAACCCACCGACTCGTGCTAACTCTCCCGGGTCCAGCGGATTATATGTATATATATATCAGTTAATTAACGGAAAAAAGACTGCGTACCAGGAGGAGGAGGAGGGGATTAGGGACTGATGGCGACGGCGGCGACGATGATGGGACGTCCGGCGCGAGGCTTTTGTCTGCTGTTTTCTGGTAGGGGGACTAGTAGGTTAGTTAGTCGCGAGCAACCGGAGCAGGCGAGCAGCACACGCGCGCCCCCGGCCCCCGGCCCGTAGGTGCTGCCAAATGCGGGCCCGGCCGCGTGGGCCGGAGGGGGTGGGATGCTGACGCACGAGGGGCCCACCCGCACAGCGACGGGATGACGGACGGGGGAACCTGGTCAGAGCAGCCGAGGCGGGCGAGCTCGGCTCAACTCGCGCCGTGACAGGGGAGGAGGATTAGCACATGGTCCGGGCGTCCGGCTGTGTGGCGAACTAGCGTTCCGGCCCTCGGTTTCCGGCTTTATTCCAGGTCCAGCCCTCTCTCGGTTTCGGACCGGGAGTACAAATCAATCTCTCCGTGGAATCGAATTGAAAGGACGTTATGGTAAAAGCATACCATCGCAAACGATGAGAAAATGCATGATGTGAAAGACAAAAAAGAAGAGATGTGCGTGGACCATTTCAGTTCCAATCAACCTTAATTTCTTTTCATTCTGAACTGTTTATGGTAATATTACTGAAACTGGATTTTCTATATATGTTTGCTAGTTTTACCTAAAACAAATATTTGTGCTTACTAGATTGATAAGCCGAAGAGGTAGTACTAGTCAAGAAATTTGTAGTAAGAGTAAAAAAAAAGGTCATATGCTCTTGTAAAAGGTTATGACAAAGACAAGAAGCAAAACCCTTATTTTTCATTAGGTTTTGGAATCAAAAGGTGACGAATTTGAGGAATACGACTAGAGTGGTAGAGCCCAACCTATGTTCTTGTGGTGAGATAAAATCCTTCAAAGGTGTCTAGTAAAATAAATAGCTATAGTTCATAGCTATCTACCCACCGTCTCATATATCTACGTCCCACTAATCATCTTCTATAATATAACCACACAATAAATCGTCCTATAACTTATAATTGACTAGAATAGGACACGGATCGGTACGTGTCTAAGTTCATACAACATGTTCATATCGATACGAGTTGCTAGCTTGTACATAACGTGACATAACTTTCGACAAATATTGTTATACAAAATTACACACGTCTCGTTGTACATGAAAAAACAAAAACAGCGGTGACATAGTCCAAAATAGTATGAGCTGTCCTCCACAAAACCCCTGGCCATCTCAGCAAAAACAACATAGGGTGTGTTTAATTTCTCCCAAATTTCCAACTTTGACACTATACAAAAAGAAGATTCCCCGTCACATTAAACTTGCGGTACATACATGGAGTACTAAATGTTGACGAAATCAAAAACTAATTGCACAGTTTGGTTGTACTTTGCTAGACGAACGTTTTGAGCCTAATTAGTCAACGATTGGAAAATTATTGCCAAATAAAAACAAAACGCTACTGTAGCTACAATTAACCATCCCAAACAAATTTACAGCACTGTAGCTACAATTAACCATCCCAAACAAACGCTACAGTATTTTCAGCGGCGCCGATTCGGGTGACCTAAACATGGCCATAATACTACTTATACATAAAGGTATATACTCAAACCATCTTTGTAAACACATGCTTCAATTAACCATCCCAAACAAATTTACCATAATTGCATGATAGATACCACAGGAACACAATATTCGTCTACAAGGAATCGGCGTCGACACGACATAACGGAAAAGGTTGCATCGATCCCAAATCTTTTTGTTTGCCATCCATTTCCAGCCCAAAAGGCATAAAAGGATAAAGGATGCGTGCAGAAATAAACAAAAAAGAGGGGGTGCTACTGAACAAAAAGAGAGGGCGCAGCGCCAGCGGCACCAATTCACCAACTGCTCTCTCTTTCCTGGTAGAGCTGAGCGAGCATCAGAAATTCAGCAGTCCAACGCGTCTTTCCAGTCTTCGGCCCCGGCAAGCAAGACCGTCTCCGCCCAAACCTCCGCCTCCTCTCCTCTCGACCTCTCCTCTCCTCTCCACTTCTCAGGGTCTCACCTCAGTCACCTCCACAGACACACACACACGCGCGCGCTCTCTCCTCCTCCTCCTTCTCTTCCAGTCCCGGCAACGGAAGCTTCACTGCTGCGCTCGTCTCACTGGTAAGTGTCCAGTCTGGTTCTCCCCCCTTCAACGGGGTCAGCTTTTAGTACAGCCGTGATCTTTCGAGAGCGATTCACTGCATGTGTATCACCCTGCTACGTGCTTTGTGTACTTGTTGCCTTGGGCCTTGGCTTTGTTCTTGATGTGGTTTTGGTCGCCCGTGCCTCGTGATTGGCGTTTCTTGGTGGGGTTTGTTTGTCGTGTCGCGATTCGCAAAGGGGGCAAGAACAATGCCAGGGATGGTCCAAATGGAGATGGACGATGGCGTGGGATTGATTGATTGATGCAGGCGTAATGTTTCGATTGTGGTTTCTTTTATTTGTTCCGACAATTTGGTAGATGGATACGGTTAGTGAAATTTTTATCTTATTGATCACAGCTGTTCTTGTCTGCCTGAATTTCTATCAGCTCAATCCTCGAGGGAGAAATGAAAAAAGGGGAAAGAAGGGTGTTGTGATGGATTTTGGTGTAGAGAAATGAGAGGAATTGCAATTTAGTTGTAGAGCGAGTGACCGCTTTTGTTTGTATGTCTCTGTTTTTTTGGCTGACAATATCTCTGTTTCGCACTAGCCAGAAGGCATAAATGCAGTCGGTTGTTGATGACCTCTAGTTATGAGTCGTATGGTGGACATTCAGGGGCTTTTAAGTGCCCTGTAGTGTCAGAGATAAATGATAGCTGGCGTTTTTACAATTATTGTATCAGTTCAGCGTTTCTGATTACTGATTAGGCGAGAACTGAACTAGTATGACGTATGAGTACGGGAGCAATTGATGGTAGCATTGTTGAGAGGAAAAATATTCAGTGGGTTTAACTATAGGGTCGTATATATTCTGCCGTCAAAATGGATGATAGTGTTCATTTACCGTTTCTTAACTGGAATATCTGAATCAGTTGCTGTTTTGTTCTAAGAAAATTAGGTCGAATGGCTGTAGAGTAAAGAAGGGAAGTTGTGTTCACCTGGCAATGTGATAAAAAAAATTATTTGACATGACTGCCGAAACTTCAATTACACTTTTTTTTAGAAAGACCTTCAATTACGCTTTTACTTGTCGTGTATTTGTTTATAAAAATACAGAATGCGGATGGAAGCCTGTGTTGTGTCTAAAGCTGTTATATTTGGTTGCTATCAGTAGTTGTACACCTCTTTTCTAATAGTTCTGCCACCGGTGAGTAATGTAGTATGTGCTTGATTCTATTGCCCATCCCAACTTTCATTTTCTCAGGAAAAATCCAGACTATTGAAAAATTCAACCCCCCATGACCCCATCCGTAGAAGATTTTTATGCTTAACTGCCATGAACATGACAGTGATGTGTGCTGAGGGCTTGAGGGTCACCTGTCAACCGTATGCAGTAAACATGGGAGAGTTCAAATTAGTTGGGCATATTTTAATGTTGCTTATTCAAGTGATTAACGTGTGTTCCAAAAATATATTTCTTCAAGATCTTTATGCTCGCAAGGATCATTTGATTATATACTTTTGCATTATTGGCCCATACATGCAATCTATGAAGAATTGACAGCTGTTCTTTTAGCATCATTATGTCCTGCCTTTGTATAAAAGGAAGCATTCTGGACATCTACCATTCTCTTTAATGACTAACTGATTTTCTCTTTTGAATGCAGGCATCACCATATTGTCAACCGGGCATATTTTCAATCTGTAGAAGCCATCTTTTAAAGAACATTTTGGGCAGAGATTGCCAGTACCATTTCTTGTGGTTAACATGGACTTCTCAGCTGGTTCCTACTTCTCATCATGGCCTGTCAATTCTGCTTCTGAGAGCTACAGTTTGGCTGATGGTTCAGTGGAATCATATGGAGGAGAAGGAAGCATTCCACCTTCAAGCTATTTCATGACAGCTAGATCAGATCACAATATAAAATTCAGTGTGCTTGAACAGGATTCCACTATGCTTCCAAATGAACAGTTGACCTATGCTGGTGCTGGCCAGACTGATCTGTTACCTGGTGATACTCTATCTAGGCATAAGCTTTGTGAAAATCTTCTGGAGCTTCAACGACTGCAGAATAACAGCAATCTGCAGAGTAATTTAGTGGCCCCAGGAGTGCTTCGGCACAATTCAACACCTGGGGTCTTTCATCCGCAGTTGAATACTACTGGACTTTCAGAACTGCCTCATGCCTTATCTAGTTCAATTGATAGTAATGGAAGTGAAGTTTCTGCTTTTCTTGCTGATGTAAATGCTGTTTCTTCAGCCCCAACTTTGTGTTCCGCATTTCAAAATGCTTCTTCATTCATGGAACCAGTGAATCTAGAAGCTTTCAGTTTTCAAGGGGCACAAAGTGATTCTGTTTTGAACAAAACAAGCCATCCAAATGGGAATATCTCAGTGTTTGACAGTGCTACCTTGGCATCACTTCATGTAACTCTCATTACAGAGATAGCTGCTTCTTCTTCCAAAAAGAAAAAAACTACATAGACAGCTGCTATGCATTTATCTCATTCAGTTAAATTAATTTTGGGTTCCTTTTGTAATACAGGATAGCAAAGAATTTATCAGTGGTAGGCTCCCCTCGTTTGCTAGTGTCCAGGAAGCAAACCTATCTTCTAGTGGTTTCAAGACTCAGAAGCAGGTTATTTATATAAACAATGCTATTGAAGAGAATATCTGAACTGCATCTTACTGTTAATTTGAATTGTACCAGTAACTCAACTTCCATACTGCAGGAGCAAAATGCAATGTGCAATGTTCCTATCCCTGCTTTCACTGCACGTAATCAAATGTCAGTTGCTGCAACGCAAGGAGCACTGATCCCTCAAAAGGTTTTTGTGTTTTCTCTTAAAAGAATACATTTCTGCTCAGTCACTGTGTTCCTTTTATGCTGTCTTTCAAGATTGTACCTGACATGGGGTTGTTATTTCAAATGTTTAGATTCCTTCATGGATCAATGAAAACAAAAGTGAGGGTCCTGTTAGCCATCCTTCTGATGTACAAACCCAACCAAATTCAGCTGGAAATGGTGTTGGCGTGAAGCCACGAGTAAGGGCTCGTCGTGGACAGGCAACTGATCCTCATAGTATTGCTGAACGGGTGAGTTTCTATTTATGTGATCAGTCCACTTCAGTGCAAACTGATGAGTTACATATAATATTTTTGAATTATTTGTTTTGCTGCTTTGTGTAGCATAAGTTTAACTACAATTTCCTATATGTTGCAGCTTCGCAGAGAAAAAATTTCAGATAGGATGAAAAGTCTGCAAGATCTTGTCCCGAATTCCAATAAGGTACATTTCTTTGGGGGTTTAACTTGTCTGGTGCATTTTCAAAACTGCAACTGCAGTTACTAAAATTGGTCATTGAGCTAATTATCAAAATTTTGCTACTTATATATGTAATGGGAACATGTGTTTCTTAGTTGTGGCTTGAAATCTGCAAGTGACACAATAGAATGGATCATTTATTAAATTTAAGGTACTTCTTTGGGGTTCACAATTTCAAGTCTTCAACTCTACAAATACATTGGAGTGAACGTTGAATTTGTTTGGGCCAATAATAGTCGTTACCTTTTTAGCCATTGGTCCAGTTCTACTGTGATGAAGCTATAAAGACAGGTTTAATGTTTGTTTGGATTGGATGTATTTCACTGGAAAGTTTTGGATCTAGTTGAAAATTGAACTAAATGCTACATTCCAACGAAATAGCACCCATCCAGTTATCCAAACTCCCTGTTCCTGTTGACGCAGAGCTTGTTTAGTGTAGCTAAAATTTTGAAAATAGTTTAGTGTAGCTAAAATACCATGCCAAGGAAGACAGCAGTTTTACCTTTCTTTAAAGTTGTTCATTTTGTTTAATTCTCTTGAATAAGATGGAGTGACAAATCTTTTGATGTAAGCAGGCAGACAAGGGATCCATGCTGGATGAAATCATTGACTATGTGAAATTTCTTCAGCTTCAGGTCAAGGTATGGTTGTGAACAGTTTTTGAAACAAGCACAAGCAATTTTTCTGGTTACGTGAAAGGTGATTAACACTCTTCCCTTTTACCTGGTTTCATTCAGGTCTTGAGCATGAGTAGGCTAGGTGCTCCAGGAGCAGTCCTTCCCCTTCTCACAGAATCTCAAACTGAGGTGCCAAACCTTCTAATTTTCAACTTCCAGGAATCCTTGAAAAAAGTATTGTTGTTTTAGAATTGGTGATATACACTTCAGTCCTTTTGAGCTATGACATGACATAATAGCTTATAACAGCAGTCCTTTTCTTTTTTCGCTAATAGCAGTCCTTTAATTCCACATGCACTGTAGTTGCATTTGATACAGATTTGCTCCTGATTTAACATTGATATACTTCAATCTACTTATCCATGCACTGTCATGATTCATGTAGGGTTACCACGGTCAACCTCTGTCGGCTACAACCAACGCACAAGGATTACTGGATGCACTAGACCCGGAAGACAGCTTCGTCTTTGAGGAAGAGGTTGTGAAGCTAATGGAAACCAGCATCACCAGTGCAATGCAGTACCTTCAGAACAAGGGGCTCTGCTTGATGCCAGTTGCCCTTGCTTCTGCCATATCCATCGCTGCACCCATGAGCATGAGGAAAACAACTGCAGAAGACAGTACTCAGACGGCTGAAGAATGCAGCAAAACCCGTAGAAGTACAGGATAGGAAGTTAGTCTGACCAGAGTTCATGGCCTCGTCTACTAATTTGCCTCCCAGAATCAGTTTTTTTTTGTACCTATTGCGCATCAGTTGATTTTGCCTTTTTCTTTTTGCCTTCTCTTTTCTTTTTTGCCGTATTGCATCAGGTTGGTTGCTCAGCGATAGTTGCGTTTCAGTAACTTGAACTGTATCTGGATGATCTATCTGATTTCCCTTTTGTGCATAGAAAAAAAGAGTAAAATCTACTGGTTCTGGCGTTCTGCTATATGGGATCAATGATCAGACATATCCAAAGTGATCCTGTGATGGTACCTGGTAGGGTGTTTCTTGTCGATGATAGCTCTTGCCCGGCTGTCAGTTTGTTAGCTGTAGCCATCTGCCGTCAGTTTCAAAGGATGTGCTGTAAAGCGTTGACAGGGGACGTCTGCTTTTGTTTTACAGAAATCTCTCATCGGAAAATGATGGCGTTTCGGTTTGGTTTAGTGTTGAAGAACCTGCAATGACAACAAACCTCACAATCTACAACTGAGGACTGCAGTGAATCTGAATGGTGGTTAAGGCAGAGACTGAACTGATGAAACAAGTAGTCTTCTACCGGGTTCTCCGGTTCTGTGGCTATTCCGTCAGATGGTTAAGACGCCAAACTAAATCTGACATGACACGTCAACCAACATGTCCTGTCAAGAGCCTGAAAGAATGATATTGTTTCCTGTGGCGGTGTCACGGCTACTTTTATCCTCTAGCATCCAATAACTGAAGATGAGTAGCCACCATGATAAAGGCCTGCCCCAAATCTTCAGGAGTGGTTGCATATTTTCTCTCGTTACTAGTCCATCAGAGCTGTTGCTGGAGTTGTCAGTATTGTTGGTTGTGACCAAAGCTATAGAGAAAGCTAGAACCTGAGCTGTTACTGGAGCACGCTTCTTGGAGGCTTTAATTCCTGCACCTTGATGTTTTACTTATATCTATACAGGTTTTCCCACTTGGTTTTCCCAGTTTTGCTCCTCCATGTTGTCTCGAGGGCAACTATCTGTAATATCTTCTTCTCTATGCAATGAAAATGGGCGTGAACTTCTGCCAGTTTTGTTAAAAAAGGGCCCATCAACTAATTACAATCCTTTGTACAACATCTCTATTAGTGTTTGTGCCCTAGAAACCTTAGCTTAAGCTATGTATTTGACATTTTGACATGCTAATCGCTTCTTGCATGTATACATATGTGGCATGCAGGTGACACGCATGATGCATGTATACAAGATGTTAGTTTTTTTCGATATACATCAACAACACTAGAAGTGGTAATTTGAGATTATTTTTCTACCGACAAAGTTGGCTAATTTAGATGCAGTTTTAGGGAGCCATTTTTAATAATGGTAGAGGTGTCTAATTTAAAAACAAATTTAGGAGGCTACACTAGATTAATTTCTTTCCTAATCACAACATACTTGCATAATTTAGATGAAGATTTATAGGGTTATTTTTCATAATGGCAAGGAAGGGTACTTTGAATGTAATTTTTTAGGGTTACTGACTATTTTTCAAAATGGTACATAAACGTATTTTTTAGAAAACACATAGATGAAATAGCTATTATTGTTAATGATGATTATAGTCTATTGAGTTGATGGTTAAATAGTTTTTGTTGTGAGAATTTATAGGATTTACTCTTTTTTCAATAGGTTAAAAAAGTAATAATAGTAAGATAAGCAACCAAGTTCCTTGCTGAACTATGTAAAATATGGTTCTTCAAGATTGACTATCAATTTGTGTCTTATAGGGCATCATCTGCCTCTAGGTTTGGCAACCATTTAGGTAGGGGTGTGTCTAGCACAAAGTCAGTTGAAGCTCAAGCCCCTCTACCATCGCTAAAAGTATGGAGCCCCTTCTAAACCGTGGTACAAGTTTGTAGTCACTAAAACTTAGGAGGGACTAAATGTAGATAATAAGGAGGATGAGCCCCTCAGAGCATACGTCTCTAGATTCACTACTGATTTAGGGTCCTTGAAAGCCAGTGATCGGTGTTGTTTCCATCACCACCATGAAGCTTATCCCCAATAGCCCGTGCTTGTACATTATGTTGGAGAATCAATTTTTTGTGGACAACATTGAGGAAGAAGAGTAAGAGAAGCAAACTGGTCACATTCAAAGTGTCATTTATTTCTATCCTAATGGTTAGAAGTATTTGCTATTAAAATAAAGTGCCTCCAAACCAACAGGAAGCTACTCTGTCTATTCTAAAGTGTAGATCGATTTATGAGTTTTATGTCGTACGTCAAACCTTTTTTAACTTTGACTGTAAAACAATATATTAGCATCTATAATAAACAAATACATACAAAAACTTTGAGCTAATGAAACTAATTTAGGTTGTGTTTGGTTCAACTTGTGGAAAGTGTTTTTGCTGTGAAAAAGCAGAAAGCCAACCAAACGGATGAATCTTGAAGCTGCTTTTCAGAAGCAACTGCCTTTGTCTAGTATAATTTTTGTAGCACCTTGACCCTGCTTTTGGCTTTCAGCTTTTAGCTTTTGCAAATGGGTAGAAATAGAGAGATGTTTTGTAGCTGTTTCATGTGAGACAAAGAGGGAGATGGTAGGTTTTAGTTGCTTCAACCAAACAGCTTATAACTTTTTCACACAACTTTTTCACAGCTCACAACTGAACCAAAACAGATTCTTAAAGTTATAGATGTGTAATTTTTCTATAAATTTGAACAAAGTTTTAAATTTAACTTATGACAAAAAATCCTATATTTTGAATCAGGGAGAGTATAGTATCATATACAAAGTCGAAAGTAAACTACTTTTTTTGTATCAATGTATTAATGGAGAAAACCCAAAACTTTATGGCCTCATAGCTAATTTCGTTAAATAACACTTCATGCCTGACATATCTCAACATCTGTTTGTAACCATTGGTGCTCATTTATCAATGGGCAATGATCTAAGCAAAGAGGGTGCAATTGTTTATAGACCGTATGCAATTGTTTGCTGAGGCCTCCACATCACCAGATAAGGTAGCCAAGTGGTCATTGGTATCTGGTCAATTAAGAAATATCATCAACAAACTATATATGGTGACAATGTTTGTGAGGTTAAGGGCCCACCAATCGTATCAAGGCAAGGTGGCGTGCCGCCTTAAATACTAACCACCATCTATTTATGCTCGGAATAAAAGAACAGATGAACTCTTCTCTTCTGAGAAAACAAAGTTGCGGCAAAACGTAAATAGATTTATATTGCAGCCCTCACTGTTTTCTTTCTTATAGATGCATTCTTTTCCTAGTGGAGGTCCCTTTGTTGAACGCCTTTCTTCTCACCAGAGCCCAAATCAATGGCAGGAGCTCTTTGTACCACCACCATTCTTCCACCATGGCAATGATCAGCCCAAAGCTTGGCACAAGGAAGGCGGCATCCTTCAGGTTCAGCACCTCTGCTCATGGCAGCTGCTCTTCATCACACCTCTCCTTTGCTGCTGCAGCAGACAAGAGTTCTAATTCTAGATAGAAAAATAAATAGAAAAAAATCTAAAAAGGCGGATCCTCTCTCTCCATCAAGAGTAATGAACTGGGTTCTGATATAGTACAAAAAAATAATAACTAAATTAATCAAACTTGCCTGATGAGGCAATCAAGAAAGCTGCATAAGTGACTATATAACCCACGGAAAAAGTGGGCTAATCCGACCAATCTTGCTTGCACAATGGAAAGAGCCACGGACTTATCTCTTCAGCTAATTAAATTAGCCAAATGTGTGCGTTCATGAGCCCATGCTAAAGTCTCAATTAATTCCTGCCAATATCCACGCCATGAAATTAAGAATGCAATTTCATTATCTGGTCCAATCGTTGTTTCTGTTTCCATATTCCTTATTTATCCACTAGGACAATCTGATTGGTTCTTTGTGTCGAGTTCTGGCTTAGCAGCTATATTTCGGTTCATCCTTTTCTTCCAAGGATTTCATAATTGGACGTTGAACCCATTTCATATGATGGGAGTTGCCGGAGTATTAGGCGTAGCTCTGCTATGCGCTATTCACGGGGTTATCGTAGAAAACACTCTATTCAAGATGGCGATGGTGCAAATATTTCGTGCTAAGGTAGACACAAACATGTAATAGCAGTTAGTACATGAAAGAAGCCATGTATGTGCGAACTGATCATAGATCAGTTGGTTAGGTTCCTTGTGGTGGAATCAACACATTCGGGTTTAAGTCCTCGACTTGGCACGGGTGTTCGTATTTTCCTAGATTTATTTTAGGATTTAATGGCGCTATGCTTTCAGTGGTAGGCGACGTCCCCATCGACAGCGAGGCGTTCCTGGATTTATTTTAGGATTTAACGGCGCTATGCTTTCAGTGGTAGGCGATATCCCCTGTCGGCGGCGAGGCGCCTACGGTGACTTCGTAAATCTCGAGATATGTCGGCTCAGTCATTCGGAGGTACTCATAGGGGTAGGGTTTGTGTACCTGTATTCACAGGGGTGAGTGTGCAGAGATAAGAAGGGGGAGATGATCTGTGAAGGGTATGTTGAAGGCCCCAGGCTTGGAACGCTGCTGCCGGAGGAGGGCTGCTTCTCATGGTAATCAGCATCTGAGTTCTGAATACTCTGCAATCGTGATTCAGATTGAATAAAAGGGTGTTGTGTGATGAAACTGAATTCTGTTGTCTGATTGCCCTACTTGTGAAAAACTAAAGGCCTGTAGGAGTTCAGGTCACTGATTTCATCCAGCTGGCCACGCTCCAGGCTTTCGAGGATGCTGATGTTCTTCAGCTCAAGGGTGATCAGAAGAGCCTGCTCTGAACTTCGAACCGATCATGTAAGGGTGATCAGATGAAATGGTTTACTTATGTATAAACAGAACCACCTTATTTTTTTGCTCGCACATGGGCCTTGTTTAGATTGGGGTTAGAAATCAGTATTTGGAACTGTACCACTTTCGTTTGTATTTGACAATTATTGTCCAATCATGACCTAACTAGGCTCAAAAGATTCGTCTCGTAATTTACA